ACGACTTTAAGAAGAGATAACCAACTACACTGAAGAGTGTGCCAGTTATCAACAACGAAGCAACAACACGGTTAGCTGAAAACCCTGAAAACCACAGGAGAACTAAGCATCTCAAAATTAGACATTTCTTCATCAGGGAGCTTGTAGCGGAAGGACAAGTCAAGGTTAACCATGTACCAGCTGAGTTCCAACTGGCAGACTGTATGACCAAACCTCTTCACAAGCAAAGACTGAAGACTTTGTGGCAAGCTATGGGACTTAACTAGTGACTTAATTCTTTAAATTAGGGAAAGTGTTAAGATATGTGATTATATGTCATTTCAATAATTTCCTCTATATTTTTTTTTACAACCGTGCTATTATTATTAATGCAGTTTTGTCATATAAACAAATAATATGAGTTTGTAGATGTGAACATAGCAAAATGTCTAAATACGATTATTCTTTCCTGTATCAACAGTAGTTATTTTCTTTAATTTCAACAGTTTTGATGAGTTGAAATCCCTTGTAGATCTCATAACGAAGCCAACAAGAGCAGAGTGTATGGACTGAAGGTAGAAGTCATTACTACAATCCTAAGGTCCTTGGACTCATCAACTCATCTCAGGACAGAGCCATTGATGGGATAGTTATGGAGAGCACCGCTCTTTCCACGCTTGGAGGTGACCTGTCATTTTGAAATGTTGAGCTCCACGGCACTACTCCTCAATACAGTCCAAGGTAAGCTGAAGATCTGCTCAGCTCTCTCAGATCTGCTGGTAGTGACTCTGCAGAAAACTTTCGGATCATCGACGAACATGAGGTATTCAGTCTTGATAATGAGACCAATGTCATCGATAAATAGCAGTGGGCAGAGATGCGAACCCTGAGGTACCCCAGACCTGCGAAAGGCATTGTAACACCTAATGATAAAGCTCGTCCAGTTTTTAAAGCCAACTCCAGCACCCATTGAGACTGTCAGCTACATGAAGCCAGTAGCACCAGCTATTTAATACAAATCCACCCCAGCTCCTCCATCAGTAAAGCCTGCTGTAACTTTAACCACCCTCTGTCAAACCTGTGGGCTACTGCTACTCTGCAGTTCCAGTTTAACTTGTAACCCATACGATGCCATTGAAACCAGTAACTTACACACCACCCGCCCCGGCTGTCTCCTACGAGTAGCCTACTTGTACCCAGGTGTGAAACCTATAGTGCAGACAGGTATCAAAACACCGATTGTACCACAGAAACCAGTCCAGTAGGGTACATGACTTTGCTCCTCCATACTTTGAACATTCTACTCCAACTCCACTGAAGACTATCAAGTATTCAAGACCAGTGCCTGCAGTTAGCTATGAATACGTACCTCCTGCCCCAGTAAAACCATTGAAGCCCAATGTATACTTAACTCCTTCTCCACCGATAGTGAGCTAAGAGTTTTCCATTCCAGCTCTAACAGCAGTTTCTTACGATTACAAATTGACCACGTCAATTCGTAAAAAGCGTCAGAGGGGCTCAGGGCAAATATTCCTCTGTCTTATATGTTGTTTTTTCACTTTTGACTAGGTGTCTGGGTGTAACCAAACCATTTCCTCACCCCACCAACAAAAAAATAAATAAGTAAAACTTGTGTCACCACAGCTCAGGTGAAATCAAATATTAAATCACTCAAAGCATTCCAAATGCATCAAACAGCAATGGAATATAAAGAGTTTTCAATAACACAAAACTTCACACAAGTTAGGGACTACTGTCACATTACACGTTGAGTTTGTTAAAATGGCTCCTAAGCTCAGCTCAAACCAATACCGGTACTGGTGATACTTGGTGAGTCGGTGGCTCAGTTCACCTTCATACTGTACCGGCTCACCCCTTGCTTTGCTAGATACCGTACGTTCCACGCATAGATCTGTAGTCTATGTGGATGGGAAAAAATGCAAGGTTAAAAGATGCTGCCAACCTCTTAAAAAAAAAAAAAATAAATAAAAAACAATAAAAAAGTACAATAAATCATAGTATTTTTAGTAAAATAGTTAAAGCCTTTTCAAACAATTTATTTTTGTGTATAAAATCAAAATTTTTGTGTATTAAAACAAAATTTGTGTGTATTAAAACAAAGTATTAAAATAAGGGCCAAACTACCAAAATCTACACCTACATCGACCTCGCAAGGAAACCAGCCCCCACCCTCATTTATATGTCTTTTTATAAAATTAAGGATATTCCCTCAACCCACTCTTTGGGTGAAAGATTTGAATGCTGGCGAAGCGATTGCCCAATGTCAGGTCATTGCATTCCAGGCACCTCAAAATCCAACTTTTTATAGGGAAGTTCAAGATTTCTGTTTGTTAACCAACCAGTTTGGTATATTTAAAGTAGTGAAAAAACAGAAGCAAAATGGTTACAAGAACGAGACATAATAAAGATAATATCAAAATACATACCCCCACCGCAGCAGACCTGCCGACTAAGCAAATTTCCTTTTGTCTGAATTGATTTTCAATTAAATCTATTTAACATTAGGTTTAATGAGTACCTATTTTTGCTGCTAGAGGAAACTAATAATGTGTATTTTAATATTAATAGCTTAGTATAAAATAAATACACTTTCCAAAATTTTCTAAAAAAAAATTAATGCAGAAGAAGACTTTTATATACATTTGTCTATGATACTAGTGTCAAAGACAATTTACTAAACTTGACACAAACTCAAAACCAAAAGGTCATATTCAATCATTCAATGAACTTATTATAATACAGTATTAAAGAAAAACACCACCTATAAAAATATCACTTGTTCTTGAAACAAAAAATCTAATGTTTGTAAATAATATAAATTAATAGGTTAGTACTTTCACTGTGATCATGGCATGAATGGCTGAAAAACAAGTGTAAGTGATATTAAATAAAATGTTTTTAGGGTACTTTGGTATTTTAATTTACTTAATAATAAATCTATCTATCTATATATATAAATTTGAACGAATGCTGTTTTTGGCCTCTTGGGGACATCAAAATGAAAAATTAAATCGGTCCCGGGCCTAGGTCTTACCGTGCTCTTAGCTCACCTACGGGAATAGCTACTTCCTTATAGGGAAATTCGCTAACAGTGATTGTCTATAAACACTAGCAGAATAATGAAAATTTATGTTTAGTTATTGTCCTTAATTTCGTCTGACCGAACACAAAACAAATGTTTGAGCCTAGGGTTAGGGTTACCCAAAACCAGGAAAAGGAAAAGGAAGCATATTTTTTCGAACTATGAAGAAAGGGAATTTTTGTTATGTTGGTGTAAAAACACTCTTTTCAGCTGGGACAAAAAAGTGGCTCTTGATTGCCAATCAGTTCAACGCGATCGCTAATAACATCCCTATGAGATACGCCTTTACTAAAAACCTTGAGGGATAACCTAAAGAAAAAGGCATAACGTTTTGATAATTGATATCTAGTAATAAAATCAATTTCGTCTTAATTATTATAATTATCAACCCATTCTCTTATCTACCAAGTTTGGCTACTCTTCACTATCACTTTCAAAAGCTAATTTGTATCGTATGCTCTTATAGCATTTGGCCTTTACATATAAACTTAAAACTTAAAGCCAGCTGATATTTACTTAATGAAAGATTAAAGAAGAACCGGTCAAATAGAGTAGTTAATTATCTAATGGCAAGTTAGTCTAAACAAGCTCTAACAGCGAGTGGTGAAATCTGATTTTGTCAGTTAAGAGTTAACTGCAGTTAGAGTATGGTTTAATTCAGGCCTACAATTTGACAGTAAATAGTTAAACATTCAACTGAAGTAACAGCTGTTAAATTACAATTCACATTTGAACCGTTACGAAGAATGTTGGTCAGCATAACTGGATCTTTGAAAACACACTCTAAAAATTAATTAAACGTGAGGGGGTGAAGCAAAGGAAATTACCTTTAAACTACTAGGAGGTCACGAATTGTGGATATTTATAGCCATGCACTGTGGATGTGATGCTCCCTGGTGTGGATAACGTCTGCACTAGTGAGTACTATGACTATCCGCAGTGCTATCCTAATAATTAGTAGACTAATTCACTAATTACAAGGAAAAATGTGGTTCCGAATCCACTATAAACTGTAGGTCCCTTAGTTGCCATTGGCTGTATGAGCTATTAATTAACAGCTGAGTCCAAGGGGGGCGCCACTCATCCTACACTCGTTCTTCACTCATATTTGGGTTAAAATACGCACATAGTGGTGTCCCCATCTTAAATAATTGATATAATTGATTGACTACAACTCTAACCCTTGTAATAAAATTAGAGATTAATATTATTAATATAAAATATCAAATCTTAAACCAAAATTAAAGGAAAGTCGTCACTCACCACTAGCACCCGCTATTCAACTTATTCACTATACCCAACTTAAACTCCAACTGTTCACCAGTATCGCCACACTGTATGGTTACACCACCAACGACACCAAATTTCTACTGTCCACGAACACTCCATGACGTCTCCACCAGACACAAACTCACTCCTCCAAATCCACGACTCGAATAATGTCTGTCCTAGACTGTCCTGAAAATCTAGGATTCCAGAGGCTTATCGTAACTGATAAGCTGGGTCAAAGGGCGCTAGCTTACCTTCGCTGCTCCCGCTTTTTTATAACAATAGGTGCACAGCCAAATAACGAAAACTTAACCCACTAGGAAAAAAGACTCGTTACAACTAGATCGTAAGCTTTGCAGTGACACCTTAAATGTAAAAACCTGTAAGTAGGAAGGCTGGAAAAGGGATGTAACAGGGAAACCCTTAATTGTATTAAGTACTGTATATAGAAAGATTATTTGCTAATTTGGTTCTGGTATAGTACAACTGGTGATTGTTTCAGGAAACCAGGGTATGGCTTCCCTCATAATGAGAGACTTCTGTAAACAGGTTAGAAAGTTACAACATAATTTAAAATGTACATGATCAAAACATTTTATTTACATATTCTTAAAACATTTCATACTCAACAATAGTTCCATCAAATGATAAACAATATAATATCTTTATAAATTAAAAATTTGATACAAATATGTATAAACAGATTTCTACAGCTCTATCTATATACAATAAAATACAGTTTTCTACAATTATGTATAAAGTAGCTAAGTATTATAAATTTGATACAAAACCGTCAAAGTAACATTGAAATACCTAGATTATTAAAAAGTTAGTTTGGCATAACTTATATTCCAAGATTAGATACATATGATTACATACGGTTACAAAGATAGAAAAAGCAATCTTAAGCTGACCGAATTGTAAACAAAATTTAAATTTTTTACATCTGTTTAGAGAACATGGATAAACAAAGCACTAAACAGCACTTTTGACTTTTTTAACTATATTTCTAAACTAAATCGTGTCAGGGGTCTGGTCTTAGGGGGCTGTTCAAAAACCAATGAGAACCTCTTCTGTGAAGGAGTGGGGGATTGTGGGAGAGCCTCTCACGTGGATTAAAGAAAAATTATAAAATTAATTGTATAATTTCTTAATTATAAAATTAATTGTATAATTTCTTAATTATAAAATTAAACTGTCATAACCAAACATAACGAACCAAACTTGCTGATGATATAAAAAAGGTATAAGGTAAAAATCGAATGAAGGTTTACTAATCGAAAAAATAGTTCTGTCCATAAAATAAAATTATAAATGCCTCAAATTCTAAAAAAAAAGATGTACAGTTAAGAAGTAATCCCATTCTAAGCAAAATCATTGACAAAAAGTTAGTGTCACCGGTGGGATTCGATCTGGTTGGCTCATGGACATCAGCCGAGACTCTATCCACTACACCTCACCGATGGCTAAACTTCGCATCGTTGCGGTAATGGTATCCCTCAAGAGAAGATAGTGACGTCACGCTCCCCACTCCTTCGCAAGAGAGGTTATCATCGGTTTTTGACCAGGACCCTGAGATGCTAGTTATTTTGAACCTGTGTGCTAATGTTTGTATTAGCAATAGCATAGACTAACTAAAAAAAATGACTTCTCATCCCATTCTAAAATCTAGAGTTTGTTTTTTATGTCTGGTCATGTTGCTAATCCTGATCGCTAGTGTCAACAAAATTTTGTTACATCGATATTGTTATAAAAATTTATTCTTATTTAGTTTTTTCCCATTCTTGGTATTCTTATTAAAATAGTTGATTTAAGTTCAAGGTCTTAAACAGTGTTTTCCAAGTTTAAAACGTATCTTTTGTCAAGGTTATAACTTTAATCCGTATTAATTACAGTATATCCAATAAACAATTGTTTTTGTTCTTTAAGTCAAAGAATCCATTCAGTGCTTACCATTTAAATTTTTGATACCAGTACTGGATTATAAATCAGTAATAGTTCTCTGAAACCATCAACGACTAAATTTTAACCAACAATTCCCAAATGGAATCATCCTACATGAGTTAGAAAAATCCGGGATTTGTATGTTCTATAATACATCTCTTGCAATATTTTTTAACAGCTCTGTAACCTTCAAGTGATATCTGGCAATCCTGAATGTTCAGTTGTTGTAGGCCCCTACAGTAGTAGGCGATACATTGCACTCCTCTATCAGTCACAAGGTCACATTGTCGCAAACTTAGTTTTTTCAAGTTTGGACAGCTTTCTGCCAAAGCACGCAGTCCAGCGTCACTGACATCACATTTTCCGATGTCGAGAGCTCGCAGTCTGGGACAAGACCGTGCTAAAACTGTAATAGCATCATCACTGACAGCTTCACAGCCTCGTGCGTTAAGATATCTGAGTTTGTAGCAGCGTCTTGCGATCACCTTGAGCCCAGCGTCGCTCACTTGTACACATTTAGCCACTGACAAGTAGCGCAGTGTGGCCCCCAGCTTAGCCAACTCGTAAAGTCCAAAGTCCGTCACTTGATGACAGTCGGATACACTGAGTTCTCGCAGCGTTGAACAGAAGCTCGGAATAAACTTGATGCCTGCGTCTGTAAAACAATCTTTCTTAATAAACAGTAGCATCTCTCTAGTTAGTGTTGGACGATACAGAATATTGTTTTGTTTTACTAGATAACCTACTTTGAATGTAGAGAACATGACATCCAGTTGGGAAATCAGAGCAGGCTTTAAATTAAAAGCTAATACAGAATATTTTATTAACCTGCTATTTATTTGCAACTATCTTATTCTTTTTTTATTTTTTCTGATCAAATCAAATGATTTAGTCTGTTAAGAATACTCCCTAGAAATGATATTATACAGGGTGACAAAAAAGTCTGGAAACGGCTTGATATCATCATTTGAACTAAATTTGTGAGAAAATTCAAACCTTTCACATCAACTTATATAAATGAAAAGTACTTTTTGCAAGCATTACCATTTTCCCCCCTTCACCAGGGGACGGCCCATGAGGAGTAGGTAAATAATCTTTAATGTAAGCATAGGTTGATATGCACATCATTTTAAAGGTCTGGTCAAGTGGAGTTCATTGCCGGAAACCGCGTCAAAAAAGGTTAATCTGTTACAAAATGGCGGCAGTCCAAAGTTCTTGCAGAATATCTTGCACAGGCCTTAGTATTGGTAAAATACTAATAGTCAACATTAGCCGGGAAATCTGAAACCCAGTTAAATTTGTTTTGGGGATTGAATAAACTTAGTCAATGAGCTAGTTGATTTTCAGCTCTCAAGCTAATGTTTAATACGAGTATTTATTTACCAATACTAAGGCCTGTGGAGGTATTTTCTGCAAGAACTTTGGACTGCCGCCATTTTGTAACAGATTAACCTTTTTTGACGCGGTTTCCGGCAATGAACTCCACTTGACCAGCACCCTTAAACCAGGGCAGGCCAGGGCTTTGGGGGGCCAGGGCTTGACTTGCACCTTTAAAATTATGTGCATATCAACCTATGCTTACATTAAAGATTATGTACCTACTCCTCATGGACCGTCCACTGATGAAGGTAAGAAACAGGTAATGCTTGAAAAAAGTAGTTTTCATAGATGTAAGTTTATGTGAAAGGTTTCAATTTTCTAACTGATTTAGTTAAAAAGATATTAAGCCGTTTCCAGACTTTTTTGTCACCCTGTATATGTAGAAGGTAAAAACAGAATAACATAGAATGAACAGGTAAACAGGATACCTGCAAAACCCGTTGGTTTCTGGACCTATATGTCAGAAGCTCCTAAGATTCTTCGATCATCAAACAAATGCCAAAATCACTAATGGACTGTGCTTTAAAAATGCTTTCTAGGTCTCAAATTAAATGATTGAATGATTTTTTTATAAGATGTTTTTCTATGATTAAAAATCAATAGCTCCAGTATTGTTCTTGTTTTTTTTTTGTCTGTTTTTGACTCAAAATAATCAGTAAACTATAGGCTTTAAATTGATTCTTTGAATGAGTTGAGTTCAAGATACTGTACTGTATTACTCAATCATAAATCATAAATTTAAGTATTTCTCGGATATGATGTTTTTTTTTATGCTGCGGAGCAGCGCATTCTGCATGGGTCCTCTAGTTTTGTCTTAAAATACATAAAACACGTAGTCAAGACTACAATTCAACCAATCTAGAAAACAATAAATTAAGACATGTAGGCCTACTTAGAAATAAGTCAATTAGTATATGGGAAAATCTGCTGGTATGGACCACCATTTTTGTGGTAATTTGTCAAACAATATTTGATTGATCGGGATAATGTACAATTATTATAATTAATTAAGGCTTTACATTTGCATCATATTACAAAAAATCCAAATTGACAAATCAGAGAATATGATTGATGTAGTGTAGGTTGAAAGAAAGCGAAGCCTCCAAGGCACCAGCAAGGGCATCACAGAAAACAGCTGATAAACAGTGCAGAAGGCACAGTAAAAACTACTGGTATAGCAAAGATGAAAAGTAGATGACTGATACAGTTTATGTAGTTTGACAAGAGGACTAGAACAGAGCAGTTTGAAAATATTTGAGTAATGCAGTACATATATTGAACAGTAAGCAACTGATACAGGACAATTTTATGATAGAGGACTGATAATGTGTATATGTATTGTGTATATGGAATAGTTGGAAGTCCTGGGGCGATAACATAAGAAATTCATAAAGAATATACCGTAACAAAGAGACTCACTCTGTATCTGTTCATATGATGTTACAATTAATTGAGGTCCTCAGCTGAGGTATATAGATAAGGGTCTGGAACCCCCCAATTAACTTTTTAACGCGTTGCAGTAGGAAAACCAAACTCTACACATATTTACAACATAAGAAATTGCACTTTTTCATCAAAGTTACAACTTTTACCCCAAAATGGGGTATTTTGGGGGCAGCCCCAAATTTTCAAAAATAAACACCCATCATGTGACCCCTCATTTTAAAGGGTTTATCAAGAGAAATTAAATGGAGCAAACCAGAGGTCAATATCGCACCCCTAATCAAAATGGCAGCAATTTTAATTATTTAAGATGAGCAAGCAAGATTAAGTCTAGACACCCCCAGTTAACTTTGAAAATTCAATATTTTAATACTGACCAAAAGGTGAATTCTCTTTTTTTATAAAGGTAAAAAGGTATGCTGAGTTTAGTTTTCCTGCTATAACCTGTTAAAAAGTTAATAGGGGAAATTTAAAAATGACTGCCTTTTTGATTAGGGGTGCGATATTGACCTCTAGTTAGCACCATTTAATTTGTCTTGAGAAACCCTTTAAAATGAGGGGTCACATGATAGGTGTTTAGATTTGAAAATTTGGGGCTTCCCCCAAAATACCCCATTTTTGGGTCTAGGGCAAAGTAGTAACTTTGATGAAAAAGTGCAATTTCTTATGTTGTAAATATATGCCGAGTTTGGTTTTCCTACTGCAACTCGTTAAAAAGTTAATTGGGGGGTTCCAGACTTTTGCCTAACCCTGTATATTTTTAATAAATACACAGTACGGTACCCTACTGCTGTCGCAATTTAAATAACTTTTCTCTAAAATTGCATCCAGTGTGTTTAACAAGGGTAGAAAATAAGCCAAATGGTCTAGTAGACCATGTTTAAACTAACTAACTAAAACCAATACTTAGATCTATGTGTAGTTTATAACACTAACCAGTGATCTTCGAACATCTTCGCAGGTACAAGTAGACCAAGTGAGGACAGTTCCTAACGATAACTCTGAGTCCTCCATCATCAACTGCAGCACAGTCAGTGAGGTCGATAAACTGCAGCAGCAGACGACGGGGCGGTTCAGGGCCCGGAGTTACACTGATACAAGACACTAGCACACATCCTGTACAAAAACCAACAATGTTCAAGTAGATTGTAACTATTTGTATCTTGACCAACAATGTTTATAGTCTGTGTCAAGATAAGTTTAATGAGCATTTCAAAAAGATTTAGGAGACCTAACCATACTAAACTCATACTTTTATTACCATTTCATGAAGAATATGTTGACGTTGACATTATTATATTTCCTTTGATTGCCATATGATTTTAGTTAGGTACCATATTGTAGCAAATTTTCCATATAGGGAGTAAGTAAAATTACACATACACGCTCTGCCAACATGTTTGACCGTGTAAGGAAGCCGTTCCAAAGTGCTTGACAGATATGTTGGGTTTAATGCTCGGCTCGACAGGATGGGCCAAGTCGAACCAAGTATCCAACATGTTGGGTTGTGAATGGGCGACATTGAGCGGCTCGACGTACACAGCCTCGGTTAGCCTGGAGTGGTAGCTGTTCTAGTTGTGTTTTGTACATAGCAGTGGAGTATCTATAACATGGCTTTGGGGGGAGATATGGATAAGCTTAAAGTCTGCACTAAAGCGGGTGGTCTGCAGGATATACAATACCCCCCCCCCTGAAAAGAAGGTCGAAACTGATTACCTCCCCTGCACTACACTTCAGCAGACTCGATCCACGGTTGGACCGTGTATGGATGCCTCCCAACCTCCAATCTGTCACCCAACCAGAACATATTTTAAGGGATTTCCACTGGGCGAAAGTGGCGCCGGACTTACCGGGGGGTCTGGGAGGAATACCCCCCATCAAAAAGGGGGTCCGAGCGTTCCCCCCTGGAAATTATTGCATAAATTAAAGTGAAAATCACACATTTCTACGTATATTTTAATGAATTTTTTATTATATATGCTTGTAAATAGTCCATTGAATCTCACTTAATTACGTATTCTAGAACGTTGTAACGGGCCAAGGCTCCCTTCACAACCTCTTTTGGGCCGAAATCACAGCTCAATACTCTAAAATATTTACATAATGTTACTTTTTTAAATTCCGATACATTTAAAATGGGAATCATTAAAAAAAATATGCCGGCACCATAGTCACTGGGTGACAAAATCTCAGATCTGGGCAACACAAGTGTGTCGGTAACCCAACCCAACTGCTTGGCCATCATGTTTGACCATGCATGGGTAGGTTAATAGCTGTTCTATAACTCTAACTACGTCTAAATTTAAATTCTGAATACATAGCCAACATCAAATTATCAAAGTTGGATTGAAAAATTTCTGCAGTCTGCATATTTAATATCACAAAAATATCACAATATATTTTTTTTTAATTTCAATCTCATGATTTGGACAGGAAAACAATGTTTTTTAATTAATTAGAAGCCACAGTAAATAGTTCTGATTAAATTCACAAACGTGAAAATACACGTTAATGTGGAGCTGCTTTGTCCCCCTAATTACGTTCCATTATGCTAAATCTACAGTCAAACTAAATTAAATTGTCCTATAGGTACTACTTTCATTATCAAGAGTGTTTACCAGTAATGTCTAAGTGTTGTAGATTGGTCGATCTAGTAGCCAAATCAAAGATAGCGGTGTTGGTGATGGCCGAGCAGCCTTGTAGCTGGACATGGGTCAGCTCTGGACAGCGACGGGCCAGCAGTGTCAGTCCCTTGTCTGTCAGTCGCGCACCTTCGCTGATGAACACCCGCTCTACCATGGGACACGCACCAGTCCTGTTCTGACCACACAGTCGCCGCAACACTCCCCGCACCGCCTTGTCACCGCACATGCCCTCGCCAGCCAGTGTGATGGTGCGCCACAGTGACGGCTCCCACGCCAGGGTCTCCCATCGGTGGCACACCCGCGCGCACACACACAACTCGCTGCTGGACAGCCACGAAAACACCTTGAGCACCACATCGTCCGGGAGTCGGTCGAAGTTGCTGGGTCGAGTCTGTCCGCGCTTGCCTTTGGTCAGAGCCGTCTCGGCCCAGCACGGGGGGCTGGGGGACACCAGGGTATGGTACCCTTGGTCCGGACAGGGAGAAGAACGTCCTAGTAGCGACACATGTTGCGAGTAGCCGCTGTAGCTGCCCAGGGGGCTGTGGTAAGACTGGTCTATGGATGCAGGAGACGCTCGCAGGTAACGCTGGTCAGGGGATGATGGTGACGTTCTGCCCAACTTAGCCAGGGGACACACCATGGGCGACAGCCGATCCGGTGAAGTGTATGCCATTGCAGCCTACTACCTGTAACACAGTGCAGGTCCATTAGCTGATTGCAATCATATAGATTGTACAGGATTTTTTAACACAACTCAAATTACAAGTAGCTTACCATAAGACACTGTTTAACGACAAAACAAACTCACATTTTGTGAGCTACACACTTTTTGTTGCTGGCCAAGTTTGTTTATGGGTCATACCAGTTGCTATAGCTCACAATAAGTCATTCCATTAGTTTGAATTGGTAAATAAGATTGTGTACTGTATTTAGAGAAATCAGTAATTTAGGTCAGCACAATCTGTCGGCTCACATCAACTACGACAATTTTGGTTAGAAAACTGGCTACAAATTTAACATGGGGATGGAATGTCTAAAAGGTTTTAGTGTGATTGGAAATTTATTGTGAAAAAGACCCAACTTGGTGTTTTTGTATGCTCTGTTTGAGCATGTAAAAAACCATATTACTAGGGATCCCAGACGTCCTCATTTTCCCGGACACGTCCTCTTTTTGGGTGCATAAAAAACGTCCGGGGGGATTTTTGGCAAAACCTTAAAATGTCCGGGATTTAGACTGAAAAGAAATAAAATAATTCCTGAACTCTTATAGTAGGCCTGGTATTAGTAATTAGCTCTTATCATCGATTGCCCGGGATGAGAATGAAATTGGAAACTAATATAAATCAAAATATTGTGTCACTGTAATGATATCTCACATTTAGAAGTTTTGTTTCCTTTTGGATCAAATTTTGTTTATGAAACTTAAGGTTGGCAAAATTAACCCAGCTCTCTGTCTCTGCTCACCACCACCCAGACCACCGACTATCTAACTACAGCTAGCTCCTCGTCTGCTTACCGCGTTTACACTCCTACACACGTCATTCTTTACGTTCCTAGACCCTACTAATGCCGAAAAGAAAATGTGTATTTTCAGTCAAGTTAAAAAATGGATTAGTTGCGAAAAATGTCTACTCTTGTTAAAAGCAGTTGCATCATCCTCCGAAATTGACAGTTTTGTTCTTTAAACATGACTCTAAATTCAATCATTTTGCTCGTGTTGCTGAAGAAACTGCTTTTCACACTGTAGTAAAAACATCACCAGATTTTGGATCGTCCATGGATTATACCACTAAACTTCAAAATGTGTTGTTTAAAGACTCCTAGCAAAACATGTTTCTAATCTAATCCTTTATATATAATACGTGAAGGCGATTTCTACAAAACACTACTCCTCCGTTAATAATGGACGGATTTTTACAAACGATGTGTCAAAATTAAGTATTTTTTGTGTAGACTCCCCCTTTCACCAATTCCTGTAATAAAAGTCCTCGGGCTTAGCCCCACAGGCCATCAAAACCCCAATGTATTTCTTAGAAGAAAAGATTTTGTTTACTTATACAGACGAAGAATTCATATTAACTACAGCTGTTCATAGTAAACACATGATACACACAAGAGCGTTCGTTTTCAGAGCGAGTTTGTTTTCAGTTTCGATAACTGGAGTGGAGTGATTACATTATCTTTGAGTTGAATCTTTTAAGTAATCGGAAATTATGACTGATATTCGTTTTGAAATAACACCTGTAATACTTTAATTGCTCAAATTCGAGCAACAGGTGCACTGGTAATTTTATATTAAGTGAGGAGGGTCCAGTAATCCAGACAACAGATTTGGAGTTAAAAGCCTAAAGGTGCCAAATTTTTACTATAGCACTGTTAACATAAAAGCATCCCTATGAATGAAAATTAAAAGCAAATATTATAGTGATAGTAAGGCACTATCACTATCACTATTTTGGTAGGGCTAGCAAAATAATAGATATCAGTAGCCCTACTACATTTTTTTAAAAGCCATTAAAACACATAAAAGTAACTCTAAATTAAAAAAAAAATATTGAGGTGACCCCCCCCCCCCTCCAAGGCAAATTCCGCGAGTAATAATTGTCCTCTTTTTTTATGGAGGGTCTCTGGGAACCCTACATATTACTGGTACACCTTATTTACAATAAATTATCAATAAACACCCTTCAGAACTAATTTAAAAGTTCACAACAAAAGTGAATCACATACCAAACGGTATAATTATTCCTATATACATCTTAAATTATTCTTATATTCAGAAGGTATATGCATTGATTTAAATTATTGGGTTGCATTTATCATGAATAGGATGATCAGGAAATTTGTAAAAATTTATGTTAAACTTACTGCACATTTCTTATCCCAGTAACATATGACATACATTGTGTTGTATTCATATTTAATTTATTGAACTGTCAAAACATATATCTTATCTTACTATTAAAAAAAAAAAATATATTATAAATGTGAAAGTTTGTGTTTTTGTTTGTTTGTTTGAAGTTTTTTTAGTTGAAACAGCTGACTAAATTCTATAATCTTACTAATATTATAAATCTGAAAGTTTGTGAGTTTGTGTGTGTGTTTGTTGCTCAATCACGCATAAACCACTGGATGGATTGGGCTGAAATTTTGCATGATGATAGCTCACATTCCCGATTAACATATAGGCATATTCTTATCTCAAAAATCCTTTCGGGCTCCGCCCCAGTGGCTCTGTAGTTCCCCATGTTAACCTTATGCGAGTATTCATTTTTAAAGGGAACTAGTGGCGTGTAGGGGCCTTTGCCCCTAATTTAGACTGACTACAATAAAACTATATGTAAAAAGACAAATACTTAAAATACATTTTTAAAATAATCAATTTTATGTTACTGTACTTAAAATTAACATTGTTTCTTGTTTTAGGCCTATATCTTGGTTTTCCTTCCGTTGGAGTCGTATATTAGTTGCTGGGTGTCAATGAAATACAAATTGTCCATATGAAGCACATGAAGGCAACTCCCCATTTTGCGGTAGTAAGTCATAAATATATCTATGAATTTGTCCCTGAATTTTAAAACAGTAAGGCCCTTTTCCCGGAATCTCTTTTTGTATAGCGGAAACCGACGCCATAGCCATTGCACTGTTGTATTGCCTTATGTTTTTTTTTTTTTAAGTTAGAGTCATGTAAAAACAGTTCGTCATTTACTTGTGGTTGGGGCATGTTAAAGAGTCCATTGTGGCAACATGCGTTGATATGTCCATTTGTGGCCTCCTCTGCGGAGTGAAATGTGCCACAATGTATGCAAGTGCTGTGAAGAGGACCTAGATTTTGAGTAACAACACTCAACTCATTTTCCAGCGTTCTTCTGAAGGCAGGTTGTAACTTGTAAACCATCGTGTGGATTTCTTTCATAGTTAGGCCTTACATGACGCTCTCCTTCAGCATTTCTTGTGTCAGTTGAATTCCTGGCTCTTCCACGTATTGCAGGTCTTCCCCTAACCCTGTCTAGTTACTTCACTCATTATAAAAACGGAAAAAATTAAACAAATACATTTCATTTTGAAACGTTATTTAACAACATTGACTTTCGGAATAAATGTAAACATTGCAAATGAATAAGTAACAGCTGATTAGAATGCAGACGTTTTTCAGTCCCCATGCTTTTCTTATGGAAAATATTTTACGTTATATCTCGTTTTCTGGTAACTTTCTGGGAATTCTGCTATTTTTCCCGAGTCCCTGGTGTCAAGATCTTTAATTTAAGACCTCTCCCACTTTTCTGCGACTTGCCAGACGTTCACAATTTTCTGGTAAAAATTTGGTCTTACAGAATTATATATATAGAAGACTAGCTGTACCCGCGGGCTTTGCCCCGTTTAGCTTCATAAGTATGCGCATGGCTCATTCACGTCCTGGTTGAAGTTCGTTCGCTACGCTCACTCACCTTTAGGTTGGAGCTCGTTGGCTGCGCTCACTTGCCTTCAGGTTAGCTCGTTCGCTACGCTAACTCGCCTCCAGGTTGAAGTTTGTTCGCTACACTCACTCACCTTTTGGTTGGAAATTAGCTGTTGTCATAAATTAAAAAAATAAAAATAGTGCTGCACCCTGTTGGTAATCCTTGTAACTTTTATGCTATTGAACATCATAGAACAGAACCAACTTGTTTAATTGAAACAGCTGTTAAGATTCATTAATTCCTTTTAAATATGAAAAACCATAAGGTTAACATGGGGAACTACAGAGCCACTGGGGTGGAGCCCGAAAGGATTTTTGGGATAATAATATGCTTTAATGTTAATCGGGAATGTGAGCTATCATCATGCCAAATTTCAGCCCAATCCGTCCTGTAGTTTATGCGTGATTGAGCAACAAACACACACACAAACTCACAAACTTTCAGATTTATAATATTAGTAAGATTATAGAATTTAGTCAGCTGTTTCAACTAAAAAAGTTGGTTCTATGATATACAAAAGCATTAAAAAGTTTTAAGATTTACCAACAGGGTGCAGCACTATAATTTTTTTTGCATTTATGTAAACAGCTAATTTGAACGAAGCAGCAACAAAAAACTGTGATACGCAATGAGAACTGTCAAAGTAGGATTGTTTACAGTTATGTTTATATTTTAAAGTGTCATGAATAATTTGTAATTTTTTGTGAATTCGTAATAATTTATTTTTCTTTATTGTTTAGGGGAAGTGGTAAAACATGAACTACAAACACATGGGGTTCATTATGGCTATGGTAGATGTGTAATACCATTAGTATACCGTCAATTTAAAGAAGGAAATTTTATCAAAATGTGTCCTTCCCCATTGCAAACGCAAAGCTTGAGTATAACTGCAATAAGCATTTTAAACTTACATGCCAACCCCACTCTGCTAGTTAGCCTATATTTAAAAGTAAATACAACAGTCTTGTTGTACCAAAATTAAAACACATTCTCTTAGTAGATTTGTCATCCTTATGGATCAGCTGAAGACAATTTATTGTTGTTTCATACAGTGCATTGTAGGGGTCGTGTTGTGTTTACAATTTCTTACAAGTTATTTCAGTAGTTTAAAATATCTTTCAACTTAATAAAACGATCAAATCTAAACAATAACTCGTTCCCTAGTCATATAACCAAACAAAAGCACAAATAATGAAATTATCCCTAAAATAGTAGAAACAAAATTG